CAGTAAGTTACTCAAGTAAAAGTATTCCTAAAAGTATTTATATATGTTTCTATCCTTTTTTTCAAATCAATTTTCAGTTACTTAAGCAAATGTAACAATAAAAATTGATATGATATCATTTCAAATTAAAGACGATATAGGTTTGTGCTATCTACTGTATATATTACAGAGCTGACAGGCAGAGGACATGTATGTAAGTATTAGCAAACTGTTGCTGCTACCTAGCTAGCTAGCCTACTTTCCAATCTGATGCTATTACTTTTATACACAGTTACAGAATGGTAAATTGAAACTGATCGATAGACTAATATGTAAATGCTGTTAATTATTTTTAACCTTACCCTTTGTAATTTCGTGAAAATAATGATCATTCACACATTTTCCGGAGAGATTATCTAGGCGAAATGACACCAGAAGTAAATAAACCTCACTCTGGGTCATAGTGGAAGTCTTCCGGTCACTGATCTGTCACTCAAGAAATCTCTGTCCAATAGGTAAAGATGTCTCAGATGACCCGCCTCCTCCATATGTGGTCAGTGAGGATTGCAAGCAAAAAATGACGGAGCACAAAAGAGAAGCAGCGTAACTGCAAAGCTGGGAGTGAGAGCAAAACTCTGATCACTGAGAATGAAACAAAGGAAACTGATAACAAAAATATATAATTCTAACAAAAACAAGACAAAGACTTTACAGTATTGATTTAAGATTTTGATTGCAGATTGTAAGTTTTGCTTTTGAAACAACTTTTTGAACGTTATTTATTATCAAATTCCTAATTTTTGTTTGAAGTTCTAAGAGTTTTTCCTCAATCTTTTAGGCACAAACCTAACTTCATAAATATCTTGGGACTTTTTTTTATAAAAATGTAAGATAACTTAAAGCCACCTTTTTGATGTATGAACTGTAAAAAAAAAAATGCAAAGGGAACTGTAATAAAAAATGTTCCAATAAATTTCCTATGGTAATTTAGAAAATCAGGATTTGGCTGTCTGTCAAACCCTGGCAGCAGTCTTAACAAGCCTTGAAGTGAAAATATCTCTAAACTGACTGCCAGATTCATCTAGTCATCACATGTCAAATTTTATCATAGTGTTCTAAAAAACTTGTTAATCTTCACAAGTTTAAAACAAACAGAAAGCATTCAAATAGAATATCAAAAAAATAGTATGTTCAATCACCAGTATGTACGGTGTATTCAGAACTGAAGGTCTGTTTCCTGTCCAGAAACAAGTTGACTTGCATTTTCTGGGTGGAGTTTATTTAATCTGGCAAGTTTAAAATTATTTTTAGTAATGCATATATGAAACACTAACATGTTATGGGTACAAA